GTTATATCTTTATTCCAAAGGGATCAAAATTAGCATTTAACAAGTGGTAACTAAGTATTGATGACTATTGAATGGAATATAACTATATGCTATATGCTGAAAAAACTAAGTATATAGATTTCATGAAGAGCCTTTTAGAAATTATAACAGAACGAAAATGAAATTCTCATGAGACTTCAATAATAATATTCTCCTTATACGTAGTAACGCCTGACAGCATCTGAGTCGATGGGTCGTGGAAATTCTTCTTCATCCATTTCTCAAAGAATGAGGGCTCCTCCAGTTAAGACTCGTTTCACAACGAATGGCAAATTTTCCTTTGGCTTCATCTTGACATGTGAATATCTTTTTGAGGACTATACTCCCTCCTTGAAATGGCGGTGCTTGACCTTCTTATTGTATGCTCAGAAAATGTGTCGTTGGTAGCACTGGCTATGATAGATAGCTCTAAGTCGCTTCTCGTCTATCAGGCAGAGTTGATCATACCAGGACTGCACCCATTTTGCGTCTTCGAGCTGGGCTTCCAAAAGAATTCTGAGTGAGGGAATCTCTACTTATATCGGTAGAACTGCCTCCATCCCATATATCAACAAATACGGGGTGGCTCCTATCAATGTTTGAATTGAAGTGCGATAGGCCTTGAGGATCTGCTTGATATTCTTATTGGGAGAACTAGAGAGGGGTTTTATGATTTAAAACCCCATCTTTATGTTTAATCGTATGCCAAAGGTAGTAGTCTAGTTATTTTATATCATTTCACAACATCCTGTTAAAATATTATCTTGTTAATTAACAAATATAACCACATAGGAGACTACTTCAAAATGTATTATTAAACAAATATATTAATTTATGATCACTATAGAGCCCATGACCATGATTAAATAGCTATTTATTAATCACAAAGGTATTGTATGACATTATAAAGACTCATCAGAAAAGCCAAAAAGTTGAAGCATCAGGAAGTGATTAGAAGAAAGAGAAACTTCATGGAGTTTCAGGTTCTGGCCAAACAGTAAAAGCAGGATGTACCTTCTCGAAAATACTGGTACATAAACGAAATCATCCATTTCCAGATTCCTAAGAAAAAGTATTAGCATATATAGATAGATAGATATATGTCTTTATTTCTGTTTGTTTCAGGAGATTAAAACGGGAATATCAGAAAAAAACTGCTCACCAGATAATGCTGTGAGAACAAGAGATTCATCTATACTAAACATGGTTTTTTTGTATTAAAGACTAAAATGAAAAAGAGGTGAAGTAATATAGTAAAGAAATTGATGATCAAAGTAAAATTACCCACAATGAGCTATTGGCGGCTAGCTCATGACTTGGATCACACTGCCTCAAAAACTACAACCCAAGAATCACATTGATGGGAAAACTTGCTGAGATTGAAGGGCAGGGAATGGAACTCTTCGCTCCTCGTATCCATCTTGAATGACCAGAACCTGTCCCACCAATGCATGCCCCGGTCTTTCCTAGTAGCAGTGTCTTTGCGATGCAGTGTGACATCTAGGAAAAGTGCCAACATGCCGGCAACAAATGCTTCCGACAAGAAAGGCACATTGATCATGTCATTGAACTATCAAATAAGAAGTCTAACCTTAGATGGGACCAAATTAATAGAGAAATAAGAAGCTGATTTAAGGTTATGGAGAGGACAGAGGTAGTTGCATATACCCATCTTGCTCCAGTGTGGACAGGACTATAACTGTTAACTGCTATATACTCGTTGAAATACATTGGTATTGATAAGCCCATGAAAACCAAGAAGCCTAAGATGAACTTCGTTCTAAAGCTGTTTAAATTGCAAAACTAGAGAAAACTGAGACCTGCTGAACCTACTCATTCACAATTAAAGAAAAATTATTGAACTTGAACTGCTTCATGATTTGAGAAGAAAAATTAGAATAAAATAGGGACTTCTTCATTTGGTAACACGTACCCACGTAGGCGAAGAAAAGGCAATACAGAGCTGCAATGATTGGTGCTGGGATTGAGGCAAAGACAGCTTTTAATTTCCTTGAATAGTAAATTATGGTTAACAAATGTACTTGGAAATGAAGGTTTATTTACTATGGGTTAAACACTTAAACTATGGATTATTAGCATTATTTGGACATCATAACACCAAACTTAAGAAAGTATGGAAAAGAAAATCATGAAACCAGCGGATATCTTCATAACTCTTCCACTGCCAACACGTGTCAATGCTAACAAACCAGCATTTTCACTGTAGAATGGGAGGAAAAATCAAGATTTATTCCCCTTCTGATTAAGAAAGAAAATTTGCAACACAATTTACAAATTTATTGCACAAGAATCTTACACTGATACTGAGGATCCAATCCCAGTTCCAATTATTCCAGAGAATAATATGCCCGCCACTCCCTTCGATAAAGAACAGAATTAAGATGATTAGAACACACAGGACATTAACAATTACAGAGTCAAATTTGGAGAAGTACTATATAAACAGAATTCATGACCAAAAGAATCGCATTCAAAGTGACATGGCAGATTAGTTTCCCATCATTTCAAGACAGAGCCATCTTTTTAGTTAAATGCCACTACTATGCCAGATGATACCATTTTTTGTAGTTGGGGGGAGGTTCAACGATATTGAGTAGGCCATTAATTCTAATTATTAATTTTGGAAGCGGCCCATGTAAAAATTGAGTGGAAAATTGTGCCATATCTAGAGTTTTTTAGGCTTAGCATTGAGGTGTTAATGAAGGTTTATACAGGCAAAATTATCACTAAGTCAATTTTACCTGCCAACCAACACCGCGAATAAGAATAGAAGGTGGCAAAGGACTTGCACTTGCATGCCTTGACACAGCAATGAAGGCACCAGTGGATTGTTGACATTTCAAAAGTGCATAAGAGATCAATAAATTTGCGAAGCTATCCACATTAAAAACTGCCAAAGAAACCAGTGAATCGATGTGGCTATGCAAAGTACAAAATGCCAATTATGAAAGCATCAAACTCTTCATACTTAAAACAACAATGAAAATATATATATGTGTAAGTAAAAGAATCCGGAAATGAACTAGGCAATGTGAACTCTACTTGGAGAATGGTTAAGAAACACAAAAAATTGCATGGAGATAGAATACAAGTATTATATTACTTAGGTTCGTAATAAGGTTAGAAGATAGATGTAGAAAAGTGAGGGTTTATGCCATTAATAGGGCGGAAAGTGTTGCAATAGAAATATCAAAAAGATTCTGTAATAGTGTGCCTACTTCAAAAGTCAATACAACTTTGGATAAGATATTTCATACAAATTTTGCAGAAACAACTCAACCCATAAACAAAAGTTTTACTGCTTCATGCTAACTATCAAGCTACCTAACGTAACCAACCTCCAATCTAGGGAATGGGACCGGCTACATAAGAAGAGAAACTAAACATGACACAAGCACATAAATACGGCAACGGATACAAAACAGGAGACAACAATATGAAGTGACTAGTTGATGGTTCCTTGAGAAACAATCCAAATGTCTAATGATGTATCTCAGGCTTCAACTAACAAGCACAATACCTCTACAAGAATGTGGGAGCTCCCAATTGAAATGGATATGGGACTCTAATCCTGAAAATGTCCAGAAGAAAAATAAGTCACAGCTATCAACAATGACACCCCACAATGGTTTTCCATGCATCCTTAAGTTATCAGGAGAACAACTAAACCTTGCATTCACCAGAGTCTTTATTCTAGCTTATTGCATAAAGTAGGCTAACTAGCATGGATTTTTCCTATTTGAGTATACTTTTATAGTATATTGTCTCGAACACATGATCACATAAAGCATCATAACAGGAATCATAAACATCAATTAGAAGATAAACAACTAGCCTTACCATGGAGTAGCACCTATAAGTCCACACGATCTGTTCGGCAGCTTAATTGAGTTTTCATAGGTGCGTTCTTATATGCCCCACCCACAGTAAGTAGGTGAGCATAAATCCAAACATTCACCACCGAGAATAGAACAGCAAAGCGGTCAAAGACTTGCCTCTCCCCACTCATTAGATGAGGTATAAACTGAAAACATTAAGATGTGTGACACTGATGAGATACAACACCAATCTGCTTAAGATGATTTAGGATTCTAATGTAGGAGAAAAAAAAAGAAGTATAAAGATCGAAACCTAGACTATTGCAATGAAAAGCAATACACAATTAAACATTACCTAGGAAAAAATAACTAGAAATATGAGCTGTGGCAATCCAATCTCCATACATTTTGCGACATAGATATCCAATTCAAGAATCAATAGCCAACGGTGACAAAGCAGATTGGTGTGCAAAAAAATGAAAAAATTGAAAAAATAACAAAACATATATTACATATATTATATCAAATGCCAAGCAATACAGAAATACCAAAGTGAAACATTATAGAGACATTTTGTCGAAAATACTGTCAACAGTGATTTTATATTTCCAGCCGCATTTCAAGAAATACTTATATTATATGTTATTAGGGGTTTCTAACTACAGATTTTCTAACATCTGTCACAACTTGCGAGGGAATATTATAGGGCAGAGTTCATATTAATGTGGTAGAATTACAATTCTTATTAGCTGTCGTGAATATTTTCCATCAATATTTTCGATTTGAATTTAATTATATGTGGATAGACTAAGACAGTTTCCAATGTGAGTGCAATGAATATTAGATCAAGTAATGTAAAAAAATCATATGTATGAACAAAGCAGAAACAATCATGTGCTATTCATTCTAAACAGAGCACATAATCAACCCAAAAGACATGCCACATTGATACATTATTTTTTTTGGGGGTCAATTGTCACATTCATGCGCACACACTTTTGACCAAATCACATAATAAGCTTGAAACAATAAAGGGATGATATAAAGACACTGCAACAGTAATTGCCTCATTTGTTTTGAAAGTTAAATTTGATTAAAAAATGAGAAAATACAAGGCTAGCAATAGCTAACCAATGGGCCCATAGTATAAGAACGTACAACAGCCCAAGGTACAGGCCTCAGAAATAGCCCAATTGATGAGCTCAACGTTACAAATGGTAACCGTTAATACTACCATACATTCTGGTGACAGGAGGAGGACTCCGATGAATTAGCACTTCAATCACGTTGATCAGCCGGTTTCCTTCAATCGCTTCAATCACAGTAATTGCCTCTTATAATCAAACCCTTGGACGGCTCTAATAGCACAGGAAAACCAAGGGAATCACTCACTATCCATACACACACCCTTCTAAACAAAGACAGAATCTGCAAAACTTGGGACTATTCTAATGATACTGTAAATACACTAGCTCCCTACTTGCTGCCAAAGTTGTGGACATGGCATATTGAGGGGTTTCTCCATATCAAAAAATCCATCCACCCAAGCAAACTTTTCTTGATCCAGCTGGTCACCGTCCAACTCGAAATAACAATCTGGAAGTTCAATGGGTCCTCCAATATAGTCAAGATTGTCACTTAAATACTGGCCAAAACCGTTGTCAGCAAAGATTGACTCTAGCTCCAGTGCTAAGTCCAGGCCCTCCCCAATTGGAAGAGACATCAATGGGGCATCCTCAGAAACCAAATTGGGCACTTGCTGCTCACCAGCTATGGTGCCAATACCAACATATTTCGTTGTATCATTGCAGCATCTGCCATTCATATTCAAAGCCAAAGCTTTCTCTTCTTGCTGAACATTGGTGCCAATACCGTTGATGTGCGAAGCCAAATCTTTCTGTTCAGCAAGAATGGTGCTAACACAAGCATCTTTCACTGCAGGGGCTGTACTTGAAGACTCCATCTCAAGGACAGACAACGGAGAAGTTGTCTGCGACATTGTACTATAAGACTCCTCAGAAAAAGTGGGCTTTTGATAATTTGAGAAGGCCATCGAAGAAGATTGATTGCAACTCTTCTTGGGGAAAGAAATGGCCTTTAAAGAATCAAATTCAAGCCGCTTCTTATCATAAGCATTTGAAGCTTCTTCAGCAGTATTAAAAGTACCCAACCAAACCTTCTTTCCTTGGAAGGGATCCCGGATTTCAGCAGCCCATCGGCCCCATTTCCGCCGTCGTACGCCTCTGTATTTCAAGCCAGATTGTCCCTGTTGGTTCGAAGTATTGGTCAAAACCCTCTTTTTAGGGTTTTTGCAGCCATCTGTTTTCTGCTGAATACCACCAAGTGGGAGATAAATTTCTCTAATAAAACGCTTGGGCTCGTCAAGACTTTCATCATTAGAAGAGTCGGTGCCATCCTCATCGTAACAAAAAACCCTTATTTTCCTTTTCCTCGATTTCAGTCTTCGATTATCAGAAATCTCAGAAAACCCCATCTCAAAATATCGACTTTGGAACACAAGAAAGGAAAGGAAAACAGACCGATCAGGGATTTGTCAGGCAAGAAGCCCCTCTCAAGAACACGAAAAGATATCAAAATCGCTTGATGTGGAAACCCCCAAAAAACCCAAATCCGTCCTGGAATCAAAACCCCCAACAAAAAGGCATAAACCCCAAAATCTTCAGAGAGCGAAGAACGCCGAAGAGAGAGAGCCCCCAGTCAACAATAATTCAAATCGGGGCACAAAATCGTAACGCCGAAGACATAAAATCCTCTCTCCGCTACTCTCTTCGCAAAACCCGTTCTTGAGAAGAAGTAGAAACTATCCGAATCGAAATTCAATTCTAAAACCCTAGCTTCGAATTCACATCAGAGATAAACCTTGCTTGTCTCTGTCCGTCTCTCTCTCTATCTGTTTCTTACGTACGGACTACTTTTATTTCTTTACTTTCTCTCTCTATATTTTGTTTCTCACTCTAGCTTCACCTTTCCCCCAACGCTCAAAATGAGTACTTGTGCTGAGCTGGCACATTCAACATAAACCCCTTACCCAACAGAATCCTTAACTCGTACTTCCTTTAGGCGTGTGCCAAGCACTTTCCTGTAAAATTTAAAATAAAAAAATTGACTAAAATATCCAACTAAAATTAAATCTCTCGCTAAATTAAAAATTTTCATCACCTTGGCCCATATCCGTTAATTAAATTGTGAAAAAAAAAAAAAAAATTGACCTTATTATTAATGCTAAATTAAAAATATTTAATTATTATAAAATTATAAAAATACTTCTTAGGTCTTCTTCCTCTCACTATCTCTTTCTAAAACTCTCATTTTTCACTCTCTAAACTTCCCCGACTTGAAAAAAAAAAAAAAAAAAAAAAAACACGAGACTCAACTATCCCGATCAATCACAAAGTGGCACATAATCTTGTTTTCTCAAGTTGAGATTGAATCATTAGTTAATTTTTCAAACTCAACGAGTTAAGAAGTTATTACATGATTTCGGAACTATTGGTCTCAGGTCAATCATAAAACAACACATAAGTAAATGTGTCAACTTTAAGTTATTGTCAATCACCTTTTTTTCACTTATGTGTCACGTACTCATTGTTGAAAATTCAATTAGTATTTAAAATGAAAAGAATGCTAAAAATTGGAATATTTCTTTATTATTTGGAGAACTTTCATTTTTCTTCTCAATATTATTTTTGAAACATGAATGTTTGGTGTTACCCTTTCTACTTTAGCCAAGTTTATATATCCATGTCCTATGTTGCTACTGAATAGTTCTGTGTTATATTATATGAGTAGATGACACTAAATTCGAAATATTTTTAGACAAGTGAAATAGAACAAAAAAAAAAAAAAAAAAAAAAGAGAGAGAGAGAGAGAAAAAAATGTCATGTTTTTTAATATATGTCTCATCTTTTATTTTGCGTAGAATCGTAACAGGATAAGATGGTGATTACATACCATCATATCCAAAGATGTAGGATAAATAATATTATGGGTTTTGCTAACCGCCCAAGCAACTGTTGTTTGACAGTCGAGTCTCCTATTGGCTGAGAAAGCCAACTTCTTCTCCTTTATAAATTGTTACAAACTTGCAATGATTGTACGGCCCCTTGTTAAATTAATGCCAATAATACCCCCACAACCATGTTGCCTCTTTAAGTCTTACGCTTCTTCTTCAATAAAATTAAAATCCACCCAACCAGAATTTATATTTTAATTTTTACAAATCCTCAAAATGTTATTTCAATTCAAAAACATCATATAAATTTAATAACAAATCCAACACAATTAATCTGATCTTTTACTCTGCTAATTTTTCCCCCCTAAATGGGAAAATTTTTATTAAACAAAAACAATAAAGTACAATAAGGCAAGCGCAACAGAACTCTAAAAAACAACACAAATGAAAAAATAAAAAATGAAAAATAAAAAAAGAGAGAGGACAATTTCGTAGAAGCCCAGCCAACCAAAAAAACTCAACTAAAAAATTGGCTCTAAATTTTCGATATCTAAGACAAGTAGTAAAGATTGCAAAAAGAGAACAAATCATTAATATTCAAACTCAAGCATTGAAGAACCTAAAAAAATCAACTAAAAAAATGACTTTAAATCACCAATATCTAAGAACCAAAAAACGTTGAGATTGACTATCTAAAAAATTGTTTTCTCTTTTTTTTTTTTTTTTCCTTTATTTTGTTTTTTAGAGTTATTAGTCTTGCCTTGATGTATTTTTATTGTTTTTGTTTAATAAAAATTTTCACTTTAAGGGGAAAAAAATAGTATAGTAAATGTTCAGATTTATTGTGTTGGATTTGTTATTAAATTTATATGAGGTTCTTAGGATTTGTAAAAATTAAAATATAAATTCAAGCAAGAGGCCCCTCTCAAGAACAAGAAAAGATATAAAAATCGCTTTATGTGAAAACCCATAAAAAAAATTAATAAATAAATAAAAATAAAAAAAAAACCTACGTGCATCATTTTGGTGGGATTTTGGATATGAATCTTGAGCTTGGATTTCGTCTTTTGAGGTAGGGAAGTATAAATTGCAATTTCTTTGATTTTTGTGAGTTATCTATTTTGTGTATTTGTTGAAAAGCATGATATATGTTAAGGTTTTGTTATTTGCAATTTGATGTTCTTGAAATGATTGTGCCTTACACAATTCATGCAATAAATGTAATGATTTGACGTATTTGCTTTAAAGCATGTTATGATGATGATGTTATATATTAATTTCCTTGAAATATGTTAATGATTGGTTGGGTTCGTGGGTTAGAAAGGATGTTTAAAATGGTTTCCAATGACTAACGAAAAAAAATTGATGTGAAAGTTTTGAAAGATTTTATTCGAAAAGGTTTTGTAAAATGGTTTCCAACGATTTATGAAAAAACATCAAAGGGAAGATTCTTTGTGTTTGCCAATTAATGGTAATTCGGAGAATGTCTACTTCTATTTACTAAACATTTACCAGATTAAATAAAAATGTTCTCTCTTATATAAGCAAGTAATGTTTAATTTTATATTTTCCTTTATCTTTCCAAGTTGTAATTGGATTGATGAAGTGAATTGGTTATAAAAGGAAAATTGACAAGAATAAAAGAAATTTGTTTATATGGATTTGTGGTGATGGATACTCATTCCTCGAGACATTTCCCATTATTTGAAAAAAAAAAATTATTTAATCTTATTATTATTTGTTTTATTTTATTTTCATTATTCAAGTATTCAAAAATTGTTTTAAAAAAATTCTTTGCCATCCCTTTTAATTGATGTTTTGAAACTATGTTCGGAATCTAGTTTGGGAGTGATTCGACCCTGCTAATTACTATATCATTTTGATTAAGAATTTGAAGGTTTTTATTATTTTTGCACGAGGTGTAGATGAACGATGAGCTACTTGCACATCAGTGGAGCCTGAAAATTTAGGTGGGCTGCCCTTTGTGAAATAACTCATAGTCTTCTCCCAATGATTAGTCTGAACCACTGGTACTGGTATAGGTGACTGCTTAATATGTAGCTGATTCTGAAGTGTAGCTGCTACACCTGCTTCTATAGACTGAGCAATGATATCAGCCATCTAAGGAGAATACTCTGGATCCCTTCTTTCGTTATAGCCCTGATCCTAAGACTCCTGAGTCTGTTGTTCCTCCTCCTGAATTATAGGAACCTCTTCCTCTTCCTCTTCCTCCCAAAACAAGGGTCGTTGTCGTTCCTCTACAACCCACTAACGTCGTAGGAGATTTCATTGCCTACGTGTCGCTCTCCTTTGCAGCCTAGTTCTTTGCATTTCCCGTCTACTTCCAGCGTTAACCATTATATTAACATAGAAAGATAGAAGTTAATACAATTATAACGAACCGTAAAGGAATACAATGAATTATAAACTTAAGCTCTAAGTAAAAGAGTACACAATGCGAAAGTCTTATAACGAAAGAATCCTAGAGACACTTGAATCTGGAGTGCTCTGATACCAACTGTGATTTCCCTCGATTCCGGGACACTGGTTGATCAGGTTCGCGCATGAGACCGAGTGATATCAAACAATTAAAGTAATAAACGAACATGGAATACAAAAAGATAAGTAAATAAAGAAATAATATCGTTGAACGGAAACTAAATAATTAAATGAATAAATCCTCTGTGAATAAAATCTTTTAATCCTCAAAGATAAATAATAAAATCCATAGAATATAACTCGGGATTCCTCAAACATAAACCCCTAATAAAATCCCAGAACTGAAAATAATAAATGTCTAAAAACTGAAATAACTATTCAGAAGATAAAATCATACGTCGATTACACCGAAAGAGTGATCATGTCAAGTCTTTGATCTATACGAACAACTGCTAATCCTGCTACTAACGAGAACCTGAAAAATATAACAATGATGGGTCAAAACCCACAGCAAGTCGTTTCTATGACAACCCAAATAGAGACTTGAAGAAGCTACACATGTATAGCTAACTCATGCAATAGCTACATAGTTGATAAGTATATATAAATATACTCACTAAAGACTCTCATCGAATTAAAGCAGACTCAACCGTGTAGTGGGTATCTCATGTAAATCGCACACAAAGGTGGTCACGAGTCCTCCTTCTACCAGAGCACACACATTCCTAATTCAGCTACCCATCTCAATTGGTAATATATGCCTTCATCCTTGAGATGTCTTAACGATTAGGGGAGTGCGTCAAACTCTTGTACCTGAATTTTCTTTTCGCATATGCAATTTAAACTCTCTTGAAAATCTTAACTTCAGCCATAATTTACTAAAATGGGCAATACCTCACCAACTTGGACAATTGGAAGTTAAAAGCATTGAATCTCTCCCATAATAATCTAGCTCTCTGGTTCTATTCCATTCATTTTTTTTATGATATGTTAAGTTTGACTTTTGTTAATGTATCATATAATCAATTAGAAGGTCCTGTTTCGAAAAATAAAGCCTTCCAAAAGGCTCCGTACATTTAGTGCATTCACAAATAATAAAGGTTTGTGCGGCAATGCCACTGGTTTGAAGGCTTGTGCCACTACAATGAACAATGATGTTAATAAGGAAGAGAATGGGAACAAACTTATGATTTTGATTATAATTCTTCTTTCAGGCATTTTGCTTCTTCCATTCATGGTTGTTGGGATTTTCTATCTTCTTTACCCAAAAGTAGGCAGCGTTGAAAATGAGAATTTGTTTGCAATATAAAGCTACGATGGAAAAATGATGTATGAGAACATCATTGAAGCGATAAGGGACTTCATCTTTGATCATTGAGTTAGGGTAGAAAGATCAGCAAGTATTTATAAAGCTCAATTGTCTAGTGGTTAAGTTGTTGTAAAGAAACTTTATGCCCCGAAAGATGGTCAACAAGTTAATGATCGATTAGAATGGTTTTTCAAGTGAAATCTAAACATTAACAGAGATACGCCATCGAAATATTGTGAAACTTTATGGTTTTTGTTCACACC